GAGGATCCAATCCCTCACTATTTTGGGGCCAGGCTCCTGTCTGTCACTTCCCACTTCCTTCTCTGAAATCCGTTCCTCTCCTTTCTACTTCACCCGGGACTTCTGTGCTGCCCAGTTCATGTGACTCCAAGTCCAGGAGGCATGACACACAATAACTCAGAAGAGCAAGAGCAGACGGGGAGTGAAGATGGTCACAGAGGCTGAGGAGCAGACACGTGACCAAATGGCCCAGAGGAAGGGCCCCCAGGGCTGGGTCCGCACACACCAGCTGCCTAGAACGAGCTCTGTTCTATACAGGGACACAGGGACACTGCCCAGCAGCCTCAAGCTATAGTCTCTCTAAAGATGCTTCAACGCATGGCCCATCTCCCACTTGGAAACTTGAGAAAAGATGAGGGGATGTCCCATGACACAGGATTCCTCTGTGACTGGAACCTTCCAGCCTTGAGCTGGGATGGGCTTGTTCTGAGATGATAATGTATGCTAACTCTGCATCCTGCGGGACGGGAATCCACTGAACCGTGCAGCACAAGCCACAGTGTGAAGCGGGGAGAGGAAATGAGATGATAGAGGGGCGATCGGGAGGCCAAGGCCACAGCCAAATGCTCACAGGGCAGCACCGTGGCAGCCTGATGCCGCCGCCCACGAGCATCACAATAGTATGACAGATGGGCCAGCTGAGCCCCTGGCACCCAGCTGGGGCGGACAGAGGTCAGCAAGCTGGAGCTGGGAGATGCTTGGTCCACGCGTGCCTGGCCCAGGACGTGCAGGCTACATCTTCAAAGTCAGATCCAGGACGGCGCTCAGGGGAGAGTTTCCGACCCATAAGAAGCAGGACGTGGAGGGGATTTTACCCTTGTCAGTTTGCCAGGGGATGGGGAACCGTTTTTCTGCCCAGACCCATTGGGATATTTGTAACACCATTCGCGGGCCATACAGAATGATCAACTGAAAAATGAGCCTGCTCTATTTGCTCAAACATTTGATGAACTCACCTCTAATGCCTTGGCAGGGCTAGACCCAATGATTTCCCGGGCCTTGTATGGCCCGCGGGCCGGACGTTCCCAACCCCTGATTAACAATAGCAAGAGCAACAATAAAATCTCCACACAAAAAAAGCTGGCATTTCAAAGTTCCAAGAAATTAGTGCCCTAGATGACAGCTTTCTCAAAACAAAAAACACAATGCTATTTTTTTTGGAGAAAATCGAAAATAAAGCATCCTATCAATGTTTGCATTATTCATTTAGAAGATCAATGATGTGCCTGAGCAATCATGATTTCTATCAAGAGCTATTAATGGAAATCCTGGTTGCATATATGAAAGTTTTCCATCATTTTAACTGTTTTCCATTTTGATTAGTTGAAACAATAGGGCATTTTATTTGGGATAAGGGAAAAAAATTAGCGGGTATGCAAGACTTTTTTCAAGATACACAGGGGCTTTCATGGAAGAATGCTGAGTTGGCAGAACAGGAAGAAACAGGTGGAATTTCAAAGGGGCACATTTTACTCAAAAAGAGGCGATGCCAGTGACGTCCAATCAAATGAACTTCTTTGCAAAGAAGTGAGGTCTCTAACGCCGGAAGCATTCAAGGAAATACTGGACTCTTCCGGATCCTGGAAATGTTGGGGGGGACCTATCAGACACCACCGGGTGACCCTGAGATTTGACGCCCCTGTGAAATCCAGCAACCAGTGTCAAGTCCATCTTTCCAGTGGGTGCTGGCCTTGCTCAGTGCCTCAGTGACTCGCTCCGGTCACAAGCAGGCGATTGTCCACTCACCGACACCTGCCCGTTGATGATGACCTCCTCGGAGAAGCGCACTTTCACGGGGTTGGACTTTAATCTGGCCTTCTTTGCAGCACTAATGAACGCTGACTTGGGAGACTGAAAAACAGAAAACATTTCATCGGATTACTGATGACATAATACAGAACTTTTAACAGTTGGTTTCTATCTTTTTTTTAAAATATATTTTTTAATCGATTTCAGAGAGGAAGGGAGAAGGAGAAGAGAGAGAAACATCAGTGATGAGAGAGAATCATGGATCGGCTGCCTCCTGCACGCCTTCTACTGGGGATCGAGCCCACAACCCGGGCCTGTGCCCTGACCAGAATCCAACCCAGGAACTTCGGTCAGCAGGCCAACGCTCTATCCATTGAGCCAAGCAAGCTAGGGCACCTTTTGGGTTTTTTTAATCCTCACCTGAGGATACATTTTCATTGATTCTTAGAGAGAGTGGGAGAGAGAGGAAAAGACAGAGGGAAACATCAGTGTGAGAGAAACACGCACTGGTTGCCTCCTGCAAATGCCCCGACCAGGGCCCAGGCTGGGAGGAGCCTGTAACCAAGGTACATGCCCTTGACCGGAATCGAACCCGGGACCCTTCGGTCTGCAGGCTGACGCTCTATCCACTGAGCCAAACTGGCTAGGGTTGGGCGTATTTTTTTATTTTTAAAAAGAATTGCATTTTCTATTGAACCTAACACGGAGGTAAATATTTAGTTTGAATCACACAATTGTTATTTTATAGATTAAAATGGTCAAATATTGGAAATTGCATATGGTTCAATGTAATGATTTTTATACTACGTAGTCCTAAGAGATTGAAGATGTTGTGTAAAGAATTCTAGAAATTGCCTGGCTGGCGTGGCTCAGTGGTTGAGCATTGACCTATGAACCAGGAGATCATGGTTTGATTCTGTGAGAGCACATGCTGGGGTTGCAGGCTCAATCCCCAATGTGGAGCTTGTAGGAGGCAGCTGATCCATGATTCTCTCTCATCATTGATGTTTCTATCTTTCTCTTCCTCTCTGAAATCAAATATATATATATGAAGAATTCTAGTAATTGACTCTAGAAAGAACACAGAGGTTCAACCTTCTGTGTATTGCATTAATCTCAAGGCACAAACGCCAATTAGGGTGCCCCATACAAATAAGTCGTCTAGTCGTACAATGAAACAATATTCAGCCATAAAAAGGAATGAAGCTCAGACACATGCTACAACATGGATGGACCTCAAACACATTATGTTAAGTGACAGAAACCAGACACAAAGGCCCACCCATTGCATGATTTGATTCCATTTGTATGAAACACCCAGATGAGGCAAATCCCTAGAGAAGGAAGTAGATTAATGGCTGCCAGAGGCAAGGGGAAGGGAGAATGGGAGTGACTGCTCAGTGGGTACAAGGTGACAAATGTTCTGGAGCTGGATAGTGGCAATGGTTGCACAAGATTTTGAATGTACTTAATGCCACAAACTTGTATCCTTTCAAATGCTTAAAATGGTAGATTTATGTTATCTATACAGTATATATAAAAGGCTAATATGCAAAGCGTCCCCTCAGGAGTTCCACCAGGAGTTTGATTGCTTGCTATGATGTGCGCTGACCACCAGGGGGTGGCGTGAAAGGAAGGAAGGCTCTGGCCGGCAGATGGAAGTCCCCGATCGGCCCTGATCACCGAGGCCTAGGGACCCTGCCCATGCACAGATTTCGTGCACCGGGCCTCTAATGTATATAGAAATAAGCCAGTCAGAGAAAGATAAATATCACATGATCTCACTCATTTGTGGAATATAATGAACAACATAAACTGATGAACAAAAATAGATCCAGAGACAGAGAAGCATCGATCAGACCGTCAAACCTCAGAGGGAAGGCAGGGGAAGGTCGGGGGTAGGGGACGGGGTAAGAGATCAGTCAAAGGACTTATATGCATGCATATAAGCATAACCAATGGACACAGACACCAGGGGAGTGAGGGCGTGTGCTGGAGGGGCGGGGAGTGGCTGGGGAGAGGTCAATGGGGGAAAAAGGGGGCATATGTAATACCTTAAACAATAAAGAATTATTTAAAAATAATAATAATTAAAAAAACAAACAAACAAAACATGTGTGGGTATACTCCTGGGTGGAGTTTTGCTTTAATACTGGGGGAAACCTGTTATTTTGAAAGTTCCCCTCCATACCCATCTCATGCTTTGCTCTGAGAAATGTCAGAGGACTGGATTGATGGATGGTTTGACCCCCAGAGCTTTAATTCCGCCTCCAAGGCGATATATTTTAAGAGAATGGCTGCCCTTAAAAACACACACTCACAAAATACCACAAAACAACTCCAAATGGTTGCTGTTCCAAAAGAAGCGCTTTGAACATGCTCAACGTGACTTGGCAAGTCCTCCCGCAGAGCTGGAGGGATGACAGCGGTGTTCTCATCGGTATCTTGGCAATTAGAGGCCGAGTTCAGTGATGATTAACGAACAAATCAGACAGCAGTGAGTTCATTCGCTTTTGATGTGCAATTTTTTAGCTGAAGGGAAAACATGATTCTCCCGCGATGATGTGAAGCAGGCGATATTTACACCGGCACAATGAGCTGAGCACAAGTGAAGCGGTTATAATAAAGCTACCCTACGCAGACCTGCCTAATTAGGCGAGATGTCAGAAGGCGGAACACCCCCTTCTCTGGCATTATTCGGGAATGAGGGGTTTCACACGTGTGAGGTTTAGTCTTCTATGCATCTGAATTTTTAAATGTAATATTTTACCATGATTTTCTAAAATGTTCTACATAATTCCTTGCCTCGATAAAAAAGCATATTTAACAACTTAATTTCTGATGCATATCATTTGCTGTGTGATCTTGGAATGCAGTGATGTCCCCATGGGAGTATATAGGGTTATTTGCCCCTAAGGTAAGTGGCCCTGTTTAGCAGAACTTGTCAAGATGGGATGCTTCACCCGGCTGGTGTGGCTCAGTGGTTGAATGTCGACCTATGAACCAGGAGGTCACAGTTCTATTCCTGGTCAGGGCACATGCCCAGGTTGTGGGCTCGATCCCCAGTAGGGGGCGTGCAGGAGGCAGCCGATCAATGATTGTCTCTCATCACTGATGTTTCTATCTCTTTCTCCCTCTCCCTCCTCTCTGAAATCAATTAAAAAATATATTTAAAAAAAGAAAGATGGGCTGCTTCTCTCTTCTCCCTGTAGCTAAAGCATGCCCACTGCTCGGAGCCTCATTCCCATATCTGTTTACCAGGCACTAACCACAAACCTGGTAATCTAGGAAAACCAGAAAGCACACCAGGTAGCCAAGGTAGTTAAGCAAATATCATGTTATACATATGAAGTCTAACTAAGAATCCATAGGAGTGCTTTTTTTTTTATCCTGGAGTTGTGAGTATTTCATATCATCAACATACATTTTAAAAATTACATTCAGGCCCTAACCGTTTGGCTCAGCGGATAGAGCATCAGCCTGCAGACTGAAAGGTCCTAGGTTCGATTCTGGTCAAGGGCATGTACCTTGGTTGCGGGCACATCCCCAGTAGGGGGTGTGCAGGAGGCAGCTGATCGATGTTTCTCTCTCATCGATGTTTCTAACTCTCTATCTCTCTCCCTTCCTTTCTGTAAAAAATCAATAAAATATTTTTTAAACATTACATTCAGATCATAAAACCATAAGCTCTTCAAGTCTGAAGATCATTGAATTAGAATCAACAAAGTACTGGCTTATTCCAGTGGCTGGAGTTCATGGGAAATGTAACTCAGTCACTTCTGTAGTTTTTTATTTTTTTATGCTAATCCTCACCCGAGGATATTTTCCCATTGAATTTTAGAGAGAGTGGAAGAGACGGGGAGAGACAGAGAGAGAGAAACATCGATATGAGAGAGACATATCAATTGGTTGCCTCCCACATGTGCCCTGACCAGAGCCGGGATCGAGCCTGCAACCGAGGTAGGTACCCTTGACCAGAATCGAACCCGGGGCTCTTCAGTCCGAGGGCCGATGCTCTCTCCACTGAGCCAAACTGGTTAGGGTGAAACTGCAGTTTTAACTCAGATCTCTCTCTGCCGCTCAAAAAATATACAATGTGCACCACTCCAAAACCTGGTGAATTAATTCTTAGCAACCTGCAGACCTGATCATAAGCACTTCATAGCCTGTGGTGGAAATGATAAGTAATTACTATTTAGAATAATCAGATTCTCCCGCTGTTAATTAATTTTCAGATTAGAAGACCTCTAATTAACCCTTCACCCCTTTCCAAATCAGCTATTGCTAAGGTGGCCAAGATAAGTGTGCCGCTTGCCCCTGATGCGTTTAGATGCTCTCAGAAGTCGCTAGAACAGAGCTGGAAACAAATGACATCAATAAAATTAATTCCTGAAACTGAAGTGTAAGGCCTTGAACTTGTAATCCCCGTAGCTTTACAGTACTACTCAGACAGTAGGCGCCGGGAAAATGCCTGTTGATGACATACTAGCCCATAGTTATCACTGGGTAACTTAGTTTGGAATCCCCCCTAGAGCAGACCCTAAGACAAGGATTCACAGGCAGGCAGCTGAGTTGGGAGGCGCTCCCAGGAAGCACAGGTAGGAAAGTGGGGGAAGGGAGGCAGGAAAGGGGGGTAACCCATAAAGCATTCACTGTGAAGGCAGGCACCCCCTGGAAGCAACTGGACCACCGTGGGAACCAAGGCAGACCACAGGCCTGAGAGTTATACTGACGGAGGAAGAGGGGAAGCTGGGGCCTTTATCCACCAGCTGCTGCTCCTCTGGGAGGAGTAACTCCTCGGCACTTCCGGCACTTCCGGTGTGCTCCATGGGCATGCTCCTGCGGCCAGAAGCCCACAGGCAAAGAATCACTGGTTGCCTCGGTTGGAAAGTGGGTTGACATGCTTGACATGACACATGCCAAGTGAACCTGGTTCCAGTTCTAATAGCGTCTGCTACACTGGGGCTTCCATGAGGAGGTCTGGAGCCTCCCTCGGGTGTGTGGAACATGCTGGAAGGTAGGCAGGAAGTGAGAGGCAGGCAAGTGGGTCCCTCAAAGAAACATGATTGAATTGTTTTAGAGAGAGGGGAAGTGAAGGAGAG